CAGCGAAGCCCAAGGTCAAGGCTTAGAGGACTTGGTGGAGCCTGACTAGGGTCAGGCGAAGCAAAGAGTCTTTGTCAGCCCGTTGCAGTTTGCTTACTCATATAGTTTATTGCGTTTGTATCAGAGAGACTCATTTTGCAGGCCTCTCCGGAGCACTGATTAGCTGTAAGGTGTGTGCCTGGTCTGGCCACCGTTTGTGGAGTGTTTCAAGGTACAGTTGACTCTTGAACAACACGGGTTTGAACTGTGCTGGTCCATTTATATGATTTTTTTTCAATAAAAATTACAGCAGTGTTGCCTGCCTCTCCCCCCTCCCCTTCCACCCCCTACCCGGCTTCTGTCTCTGCCACCCCTGAGGCGAGACCAACCCTTCCTCTTCCTCCTTGTCAGCCTACTCAGCGTGAAGACTGTGAGGGTGAAGACCTTTATGATGCACTTCCACTTAATGAATAGTAAAAAGATTTTTCTTCCTGATGATTTTCTTTTCTCTAGCTTATTTTATTGTAAGAATACAGTATATAATATGCATAGCATACAAAATACAGGTCAATTGACTGTTTATGTTATTGGTGAGGCTTCTGGTCCATAGGAGGATATTAGTTAAGTTTTGGGGGAGTCAGGGGGTGCAGTTTTTTACTGCGCCAGGGTCAGTGCCCCTCACCCCTACATTGTTCATGGGTCAACTGTAGTAACACATTTTTTATTTTTATGGTGTATTGATCCAAAGCTTCTGAGAAGGGCAAGAGGCAGAGGAATGAAGAGAACAGATGGGCCTTTTCTGTGCTTAAGGTCATTTCCAAGACAAATACGTTTCATTTGGTTACTTGGTTATATATTTGCAGATATTCTGTTTGGTGAGGCTGAGGTCATAGGAGCAAAATTGTGGTTTACCTTGGTTAGGATATCTATTTTCAAACAATGCCCATTCTTTTCCAGAATCACAAGAATATTGACAACCTCTTCACTGCACTTCTGGAAAACAAAATCAGTTCAAGCTATGGAGTAGTTACCTACTTTGTTGCTGCTCACACTAAGTTCAAGAACTTGCAGAGGAGTGACTTTCAGAAACCTGGGCATTTGCTTTCCTAGTTTCAAGAAGTTGCCATGTAGGTCAGGCTTTATCTTCCTGGGGCTATCACTAGTCCTGGATTCTGTGCTTTGCTGGTCTAGAAACTTGTATTTTTCCAGGAGGAGTCAGGCTTTAGGAATTTATGTCACCCTAGCCAAACTCACAAGGACGATTTATAAACTAGAATATTCACTTTTTTATTTTTTTGCACACTTACTGTGTGGCCTTGTCCTAATCTCTGGGGAAAGTCCCTGCCCTTTAGAAGGCTATGGGACAGATTTGAAATAAGTATGTTATATATAGTGTGCTAAGTGTAGAGTGACCTTACATCCTGGTCTTCCTGAGACCGCCCTGGTTTATGCCTGTTGTCTGAGTGTAACTGTTAAGAATGCTTCCTTTCACTTCCAAAACTGTCTAAGGCCACAGTAACAGTCTCTATGAATGTTCTGGGTACAGACATGAAAGAAAGGAGGGACCATCAGCCTGCTTCTCCAGAGTAGACACTGAGCTAGGCAATGAGGGGCACGTGGACAGCCGAGGACTGGGAGCATGGGCAGGGTGGGGTAGACGTTCCTTGAGGAATGTGCTGAATTCTGCAGGCAAAGGGAGATTGTTCCTGAAGCAGCAATTGGTTGGTTCAAGCTAGGCATTGTTTCCCAAATTTCCCAGGACAACAGGTCAACACAAAGACTTCCATATCCTGCTGGCAGTTCGCATTAGTGTTTCTTTGTTTTTTTAAGAAGCTCTCCTAGATGATTCTTGGGCATATTAAAGGCTCACAACCAATTCCCTACTGATTTCCAGCTAGGAATTCAAAAGGGCAGGAATAAGGGGGAGCAGGAACAGCAAGATTAGAGCACAAGTCACAGATCAGCCAGGCAGGGGTGACCCCAGGTGAGAAAGCGCTCAGAGACAGAAGCAGGTGGGAGTCATTTGCAGTGTATCTATGAAAAAGGGGGAGTGTGGGAACTAAGTCAGTCACAACGGGGATGCAGAGGAATGAAAAGATTAGAGAACTATTCAGGAGGAAGAATGAACAGGACCTAGTGGATGCCAGTTACTGATTTACTGCAGTAATATTTCCTGGCAACAGAACACTTGTGTCAAATCAGGAGCCCAGGGGACCGTATAACCTGAAGGTTTACTTGGTGAGCGTAAACCTAAAAATACAAACAGTTGGATGGTGTTGTGGTATATTTCATGTGGCCCTCCTGCCTCCTTCGCCTTTTTGTAATCCCTAGAACACTCATAACAATTGTGTCACGGGAAGAAGTGGGAATGCATTCTAAAGCATCCCAATCCTTTCTTTTTTCTAGAGGGATTCTTGCCCTTTCCTTATGGTAAGACTACCAGCCAAGCCTTATCCTGTGTTATTTTTACTTCTGTTTTCATTATCGAATGCGTGAGATAGTCATGATTCATCTGCAATGTACGTGCCAACTCCTTTCAGAGGAGAGGGTCGGTTTGGTCATCTGCAATGTATGTGCAGACTCCTTTCAGAGGAGAGGGCCAGTGTCTCGCAAGTTTCAGCACGCAGATTTTGAGCTGCCCTCTCTGTGGGAACCTGCAGCGCCTCACAGATTTCACCCCAAAGCTGGGGAATCCCAATAGCACAAGAAACGCCTCATCCAGGCCAGGAGATGGTTGAGCCTGGCATTTGAGGCAGCGGATTCTCTTGGAAGAGGGTGGTGAATGGGTGGTTTTGAGAGAAGCAATCCCTCGATGAAATCCCTTAATGAGAAACGAAGAAAGTCTGCTATTTCCCTTTGCCTTCAAACGGTAAAGATGTCACCAGGCCTCTTCTTGGCTTACTACAGAAGTAGCAAGCAAAGTCAGAAATCGAAGACTTAGAAGTTAGGAAAAGAAAGCCTCACAAAGGAGAATGGGAAGCCCATCAGGCCGTAATGTCACAGGGCCATTTTGGCGCCCTTCGGCCCAAGACCAGGCCGCTCACTTGGAGTCCCCGAGTGCGGTTTGGGGCGGGACAAGGCATCTTAAATTCCAGTTTCCCCACCCCCACCCTGCACTGCTGCTGAGGGATTTCTAAATCCTGGGAGTGACAGGGATGAAGATGAACAGGCTGGGTCTTCCACGCTGAAAACACCAGTCCGCAACGGCTTCAAAGTTGTTGTTTTTTCGACGAGGGGCTTAACTTCTGTGCAGTCCACTATCATCAACGCCATTCAGTCCCAGTGGCAAGACGAAAACGTAAAAAAAATGACAGAGCAGGAGGAAAAGCGCCGCACACGCCCTCAGAAACGGATCTTCCCGGCCCTGACGCCCGCGGAGCGGCGCGCGCGCGCGCGGGGGGCGCCGGGTCCTCCGCCGGGCGCGAGGCCTTCCCGCGGCCGGGGGCGACCAGCGCGGCGCCGCGGCGGGGCGGCCGGCGCGCGCGCGCGCTTCAAAGGCCGCCCCCCCGCGCGCGCGGGTAGTACGGTCCGAGGGGCGGCTCCGGGGCGCGGCCCGCGCGCTGACGCGCCCCGCCGGCTGGGAGGCGCGCGCCAGGCCGGGAGCGCGAGCCGCGAGCCGACGCCGAGCCGAGCCGCCGGAGCCGCGGCCGGGGCCCTGAGGAGGCCCCGGGGAGGCGTCTTCGCGGCGGAGGAGCCGGGCGCGGGCCGCCGCGTCGCGCCGTGGGCGAGGAGGACGAGGACGCAGCGGCGCTCCGCCGGCGGGAGGAAGCGCTCCGCCCGCGCCCCCGACGGCGCGCGTTTACCACATCCGCGCCGCGGCCGGAGACGCTCGCTGGCGCCTGTCACCGTTCCCTCCATTTTGAAAGGGAAAAAGGCTCCCCGCGTCCCCTGCCCCCGGGAGCCGGAGCCGCTCATGGCGTTCAGCCCCTGGCAGATCCTGTCCCCCGTGCAGTGGGCGAAATGGACGTGGTCCGCGGTGCGCGGCGGGGGCGCCGGGGACGACGAGGCCGCTGGGCCCGAGGGCGACCCCGAGGAGGAGGACTCGCAGGCGGAGACCAAATCCCTGAGTTTCAGGCAAGTACGCAGCATCCCCGCGAGGGTCCGGCCGCCGCCGTCACCATCCACCCATCCGCGGCTCGCTGTGTGCGTGTGTGTGTCGCCGCCCGCGCGTCCGTGTCCGTGGCAATGGCTGCGTGCCCGCCGTGGCCGGGTCCCCGCCGTGCATTCGGAAGTTCGGGGCGTTCGGTCGTCCGCGTCTTTTCCGCACCCCCCAGTTTCGCTTGGGGCGCTTTCCAAAGGCGACCCGGCGTCCGCAGTCTCTCCGCATCCCCGTCCACCTCGGTCACTTTCTGTGAGCTTCGACCCGCCGGCCCGTGCGCGCCCCGGTACGCGCACACCGCCGGGGAGGGTCGCGTCACTGATCGCACCCGGTGGGGCTTCGGGCCCTCCCGGGGCCCCACTGTGTCCCCAAAACGCAGCCGCGGTCAAGAAAGTCGCGTGATGACAGGCCCCTGGCAGCTGGTGAGGAATGGTGGTCTCTGCCAGAGCTGTCACCCTTGTGATTGCGGAAGGCAGGTGACCGCATTCCTGGTCTCTGGCCCAGTGAGTTCCACGCAGGTAGAGGCCTGCCGAGCAAAAAGGAATGGCTAGAATGGGCTTTAGTTTTGGGGTGGGTCCAGCGTTAATTTTTTAGAAGCCTCTGGGAAGGGGCTCTTGTGGTGAAAAAGGCGGTCTGTTGGGAAAGTGCATTTTTCCCGTTATCGGAGAGAAGGATGACCTCAAAAATAAATGGTGCTGGAGGAAAGCTCCACAGAATGGAGGAGAGTTCAGAGATAGGATGCCAGACTGGGAACCTACGGAGGGCCCTGCTAAAAACCCGCCTTCTGCCGACCGGTCTGTGCTGAGGATCAATTGGTTGTAAAGTTAGACAACCATGCTGGACTTTGTGGATATAGATAGGTTTTAAAGGGTGTCAGAGATACCGTTGAAAGTGGTAATTCCTCATTTTTCCCCTTTGGCAGCTCGGATTCTGAAGGTAATTTTGAGACCCCTGAAGCTGAAACCCCAATCAGATCGCCTCTCAAGGAATCCTGTGACTCGTCACTAGGATTGGCAGGACCCGGGACCAAAACCCAAGGTAAAGAAAAACTTTCATTTTCTGCTTCTTTTATTTTAAGGTTGTGAAAAATGTAAATAAAGGAAGGGGGGGAGGGAAGTGTTAGTTTAGAACCATTTAAAAGGGTTCGGATTGTCTCCTTACTCAGAAAGAGCTGTTTTAAAGCTCCTGGCTTATTTGAAAGATGTTTTTATTTTTTTTAAAGGAGTGTGGTGATCAGAGGCTTTCTTCCCTGAGTAGAATTTGACATTTGCAGTGTGAGATTGTCATTACCAGACGTTCCTCAGCCCCTAGAAAATAAAGATGTGTATAATAATGCACTGTGGTAGGGTTCTGTTTATATTTGGCTTCACAAATTCCTCAGGCTAAGTTGCTTTCTACCAGGGTGTGGCTAGAGACAAAAATTATAGGTAAGAGTTGACCTTTTTTTGATGGGGCGGAACCTTAAGAAGCTGCTTCAAATTGCTTATCTGGCACCTCCACGCAGGGCTGGTGGGAGCCCTTCAGTCTGCCTAAGAAAACCTGGTCACAGATCCTCTCCCAGCCCCTGAGGGCCCAGCCTTGAGCCTGCCCTTCATCTACAGGAGCTTTGGCTGTCCCACTTAATTAGCAGAAACCTTTTTTGTCACGTAGCCAGTTCTGAGTAAAATTTCACCTGTTCCAATAGAATTCATTTGTTTATTCAGTACATAAATAGAGTGCTCTGTGATTCAGCAGTGAAATCCTTCTGTCACTGAGCTAACAGGGAAGGAGATGAATGAACCTTTTTAAGGGTTAAAAAATATTTATGTCAACTTGAGTTAAGAATTACGGAGAAAAATAAAGCAGGAAAAGAGGGAATAGGGAACATGGAGTGGGGATAGGGAATGCTGAAGGGAGTTAGGGAAGGATTAGTGACACAGTGACTCAAGCAAAGACCTGAAGGGGGATTGAGGGAGCAGTCCATGTAGATTCTTGGGGAAAGAACCTTCCAGCAGAGGGAATGGCATCTGCAAAGGTCTGAGGCAGGACCAGCCTGCCACGGGTGAGGCCCTCTGGTGGGAGGGCTCATGGCATGTTTGAGGACCAGCCAGTGTGGCCAGAGTGGAGTGACTAGGCAGGGAGCAAGACGAGGCCCAATATTGTAATGATGATTTATGATTTGCTTTCTGAGTGAGGTGGAAAGCCATTGGTGGGTGTATTACTTTCCTAGGTAAGCCGTAACTAAGGACCGCAAGCTGAATTTATTCTCTTACAATTCTGGAGAACTCAATTCAGACCTAGAAGTCTGAAATCAAGGTGTCGGGAGGGCCATGCTCCCGCCGAAGGCCTAAGGAAGAACTCTTCCTTGCCTCTTGTAGCTTCTGGTGATTGTCTGCGATCCTTGGTGCTCTTTGGCTCGTGGTAGCAGAACTACATTCCTTTGCTCTGTCACACGGTGGTCTTCTCCCTGTGTGCCCCTGTGTCTTTACGTGGTCTTCCTATAAGGAGGCCAATCATTAAAGTTAGGGCCCACCCTAATGTGGTCTGACCTCATCTTACCTTGATTATATCTCCAAAGATAATGTTTCCAAATAAGGTCACATTCACAGGTACCAGGAGTTAGGGCTGTAACGTGTCTTTTAAGAGACACAGTTTAACCCACAACAGAGGGCTTTGAGCAGAGGCTTTGACTTCCTTTTGAAAAGGCTCACTGGCTGCTGTATGGAGAGGGGACTCTAGGATAGATGTCCTTTTTATGTGGCTTCTCTATTCCTGTGTCTGACACTGTCACCCTACAGTGGTGGATAGAGCCAGCTCCCAGTTATCTAGTTACCTAATTTGTTAACTGACTGTGACTTTCTCCTTTCCCAAGTTACTGTATTTTATTGCTTAGTAATTTCTTCACAGGTTGCCTAGGGCAGTCAAGTCACTCTGGTTATGAACTGCGTAATGGAGCTGGAATTATTGATAAAATGACATCAGCTTTTGTGATTTGTTTTTGCTTTAAATTGAGAGCTCTATGCTGTGCTTATCCTGCTGAGAATTCAGCAGTCGCCTCAACCCGCCCTGGGGTGCGTTTTGTCGTTGTTCTAGACAAGGATAACATGGGACCAGACAAGTTTATATAGTGGAGAACTTGTGTGTGGCACATAGCTGTGTAGACTCCCAGTGACGGAGACACCACTTGTTCATCATAGCTTCCCTTTTCTTCTCTAAAGATTGGCAGATCAGAGGGGAGATTTTAAAGCTGAAAAGAACTATTTGGTGGCTTTCCCATCAAATTTAAATAAAGCTCCTAAGACACATGTTAAATAGCTGTTTGAAAGCCTCTTTGAATTGCCGTCAGCTTGGGCGGCCCTTTCTTATCATTTTGTCAGTTGCTGGACGGATTCATATTGCCAGATTCTTTGCCAACTGAATAGAGGCCTTGGATGGCCTAGGCCCCGAAAACCACAGAGACCTGATTGTTTCGTACTTCCTGTGCCAGTGACTCTCACACTCTTTTTCATTCTCTCTAAAAGGAAAACTTTTAAATGTTTTCCTTTTAGAGAGTTGTAGATGAGGAAAGCTCTGTGGTGTAGTTCATGATTGCAGACTGTAATTGGGGGGTGGAGGGATGGTGTACAGTCTAGGAAACAACCCTGCCTATTTCAAAGTCTTTCAATTTAGGATCTTTAAACAACAGGATGATTGCTCATCCGCCTGTAGTATCCTGCCTTCCTGGGCTCCTTCCACACATCGGGAGCCAGTCCAGAGTCTTGTTGATGCCCTTGTCATGTATTCAACCAAAGTACAGGTCTGACCAGGGAAGATTTCAGTGGGCAAAAATTCTTTAGGATTCATTTCATGTTGAAGTTTAATCTTGAGGGACTGGATGGTTCCCTTTCTCCCCAAATTATTGATTGTTTTTTCCCTGAGAAAGTTAGTCTTTCATAGTTCTGTGGTTCCAGGACATGGTTGGACAGCAGTTATAGATGATATAAGACTAAATCATTCATGAGTCGTGAGCCAGTCAGGAGTTGGAGTTAACATGTATAAAGATTCTGGCTTTGGCCGAGTGCGGTGGCTCATGCCTGTAATCCTAGCACTCTGGGAGGCCGAGGGGAGCGGATTGCTGGAGGTCAGGAGTTCGAAACCAGCCTGAGCAAGAGCAAGACCCCATCTCTACTATAAAAATAGAAAGAAATTAATTGGCCAACTAATATATATAGAAAAAATTAGCTGGGCATGGTGGTGCGTGCCTGTAGTCCCAGCTACTCGGGAGACTGAGGCAGGAGGATTGCTTGAGCCCAGGAGTTTGAGGTTGCTGTGAGCTAGGCTGACGCCACGGCACTCACTCTAGCCTGAGCAACAAAGTGAGACTGTCTCTAAAATAAAATAAAATAAATTAAATTAAATAAAAAAATAAAAAAATAGATTCTGGCTTCTTGGTATATAATGGACCTCAAATATGTGGGCTCTATCCCATATACCATGCCCATGACTCCATGCTGACTTCCATATAATTCTTTGAACTCAGGGAAACATCTAAATCTATTTTGAAATAACTTTTCTTTTTATTGGAACTATTTTAGAAACTTACAGTATCTAAACTCTATAATGCCTCTTCCTAAGCTTTGTGTGCCAGGAATTAAATAGTGGATAAGATTGTAATTTGGTTTTTTTGTTTGTTTGTTTTAAAGCCACAGATAGAGGCTGGTAAAATTTTACCAGACTACTTGGTAAAATAAAAGTCTAGCCAAAGAGATTTCTTGAAAATACCAGATCGATGGCTGTAAATTTGGGCTGGAAGTTCCATATTTACTATCTGTCTGCCTTCTCCCACAAAAGATGTTTAAAGTTGCTATTGTTATATTGTTCTTTCTCTTTGCTGGGAAATAAAATATATTGGTGGAGAAACATCCTTTTTTTTTTGGTGCTTATAGGAGATTCAGGGTTTTGTTCACTGTTTTAGGCACAAAAACTGCAGTGGATGTTATCTGCCATTTGAGTTTCTCCTCCCCCTCAAGCACACACACATTTATTTACAGATTGTTATCTTGGCTTGAGAAAGAGAATCTTAATTAATATAGAAGCTCTCCCATTACCTGAGGAACAACTAGTTAAACCTACCCAGTTTGATGTGTTAATGTATGCCTAGGTATTTAAAAACATACTATAGTTCTCCAGAAAGAAGGAAAGGGATAAATGAGTCCAATCCACAGGTATTTACTGCTGTAGGCCTTATGGGGAATGCAGAGTTGTTTGTTGACCCAGTTTTGGTCCTCTAGCAAACTGTGGCTCAAAGGCCAAATCTGGCCTGCCACCTGTTATTGTATGGGTTTTATATTTTTAAATGGTTGAAAACAAATTTGTGATATATGAAAATTATATGAAATGCAAATTTCAGAGCCTATAAATAAAGTTCATGGGAAGACAGCCATGCTCATTTGTTTAGGTGTTGATTATGGCTGCGTTCACACTGCAGAGCAGGGTTGAGTACTTGGAACAGAGACCAAATGTCTGGCAACAGCCTAAAATATTTACTGTCTGGTCCTTTACAGGAAAAGTTTGCCAGCCTATATCTGTACTTATGACAAGTTTCAGTAAAACTATAAAGTTTAAGTAATTTTGGATGATGACTTTAAGAATAAAGAAAAAAGGTAGCAAGGCCGTAACTAATGAACAAATGAACTGTGGACACTGGGTGCCTTGCGTGTGTGGTCGGGAGGCGAAGGGCGACACTGACGTGGGCTGGCTATGTGCTTTGCAGAATGGAGATGATGTTAATTAGTCTGTCAGTGTACCTGATTTTCAGTTAACTAAAGGATCTAAGAAGTAATAAAAATTACTTAAGGAAATAAAGGAAGAATGGGGAAAATGTTCGAATCATTTAATATAAGTACAAATAAACAGACTTGTAACTTTTGCCCATTAATGTAACTTTGGGTGTTTGAGAGTTTATTTGTGCAGATCTCTTAAGAAGTTAATATGGTATATTTATTGGAATGTTTTAGACCATACATATATATATGTATATGTAAAAGACCTAGACTGGGGGTCTTGTTGAAATCTGAGCT